TGGTTTTTAACCACCTCCAAATTTAGGTAACTATAAAACGCAGTGAGCGCCCATTAATATTTTATTTGCAGCAGATTTTTCAATAAGTTCCTGACAAAGGCTGAGCTCCTGAGCCCCCTCCCCAGCCACGTGGAGGGGCGGCTCTGAGCCCTCCTCTGCACTGAGGTGGGGCTGCCCTGCATGGGGGAGATTACGGACTCCAGCAGTAAACTGAAACACCACCAACACCAGAACCAAGTCCGGTGCTGCATCTGCTAAGGACGGGACAGCAGAGCTGCCTCCCCTGGGTGATGCTCATGGGGGGATGTGGAACACTGGGACACAACACACGGCTTCAAGGATGTGATGCGTGGCTCTGGGACTGATGCATGGCTCTGGGATTGATGCACCATTGCCTCCCACACAGCCTGGCCTGGACCTGACTCTCCTGTCCCACCCTGTGCAGAGGCACATATGGTGTCGGGGACGCGTTGTTCCCAGCAGCCACAGCCAAAGGGCTGGGCTCTGTGCAGCCAGGCTCTTGTGCAGCCAGGTTCCTGCTGTGGCACTAATTGGGCCGTCCTGGTGAGAGCAGTGCTGGGAAGCATTGCCAGAGGTTACTGCCAGCCTGGCAGGCACCCAGCTCCATCCTCTCCTTGTCCCCTCCACCTCCACCGCTGCCTCCCCAACCCCTCCACGGCTCTCTAAGGACCCCAAAACCCCACCGTCACCCCACACCGCCTTTGCTCTGTGTACCTGCATGGCTTTCATGGGGGTGACTGTGGGGCTCACCAACACATGGGGCTTTCAGTGGGAGGAAAAGGGAAAGAGTGAGCCTTAAAAAGCAACGCCGTACCGCTCGGACCAGACATTCTCAGGTAATTAGAACCAAAAGGCAGCAGCTAGGCAGCAATCCCTGGCTGCTCTGGTTATTCTCCGCCTCACCAAGGGAAGGGGCCGTGCTTTGAAATGCTGCAGCACTCAGTGCAGCTGTCCTGGGGGCCTGGTGACCCCGGAGGCCCATGCATGGCAGTTCAGCGTGTCCCCAGCCCGGAGCTCAGCAATGCCACACATCCCAGGCTGTTCCCTCCTGCAACGCCTTAGGGGTGACTGCTGACCTTCTCCAAAGTTTCCCCCCTGCCTTAAAGACGCCCATAGGCAATGCTGGAGGTGTGCCCCACGCCACGTGTTCACTGCAAGCAACACCCCAGCCAGGTTGCACCACGAAGCATCGCACAAAACCCCTCGCCGGGCCCCAGAGCTCTGCCTTCTGCAAGGCGAGAGGTCCCAGCTATCTTATCAACAAGGAGAAAAGCAAAGAAGGAGATCTGTTGGCATTACCTTGGTCAGGAAGCGTGGGGGCCGGTCTGGCAGCTGACAGCGTGGCTGTGACCAGCACAGCCCAAAGGATGAGGGACCTCCAGGTAAACATCCCACTGCTGCGGCTACTGCTCTGCGACTGCGCTCAACCGCCCCTCCATGGGGCCCCGTCGGCCGCTGTGAGCTGCAGAGGGGGGAAAGAGAGTCAGGGCAGAGTTCAGGGCATCCCCCCACGTCCCTTTGCTGTATGGGAATCCCCTGCATCCCACAGCTCCTTTGCTGTATAGGGACCCCCCCCTCTCTGCTCCCCGCCTGGTGGTGGTGAGGATTGAGCTCCGAGCCACCCCGCAAATGATGGCTGATGTGTTGGGAGCAGAAGTGCTGGCAAAGCAAAACCGAGCACAGCAAAACGCTGGGAGAAATCCTCAAATGCTGTTTTAAGAGAAGGGAGGTTTCTGCTCTCCTCTTTTTTTCCTCCCCCTTCACGCAGTTGGCACTGGAAACAGCAATTCTCATACAAATCAAAATGTTTGCAAGGAGCTTCGATCGTCACGGCTTGGCAGGAGCAGCTTTTGGGTTCCTTGAACTTTTTTTTGCTCAGATGCAAAATGGAAAAGGCTCCAGCCTGAGGCTCTGCGGGATGGGAGAGGTGCTGCTGCTCAGCTCCGGAACCCCTTTGTTTCGACATCTTCCTCTACAGACATCCCAGGAAGCTCCAGACTGAGAGCAGCACAGACCCTGGGGGCAGAGCAGCAGGTGTTCACACAGTTAACCCGGGCTGGGAGCTCCTGAAGCCCTTTTGGGGTGTCGGGGTGACCCCACAGGAGATGCCTGAGCCCCTTTGCTGTGGGAACAGTGCTGTGACCTCACAGCCTTAGGTGCACAAGCAGCAGAGCCACCAGCAAAGCTGGAACAGGAGGAGGACGTTCCTTAACCCTCCACTTCTCTCTGCCTTCCACCCTTCCCACCACTGAGCCGTGCTCTACTGCTCTGTGCTCCAACGCAGCCAAACCCGACTCGAGCTGTCAGACCCCAAAGCCTTCGGGCTGCAATCCAAGAGCTGCACTCCTCCCTCGGTGACATCTGCAGCTCCACAACAGCCTCCAGCCGAGGTCCCGACACCAGTGGTCACTAATGGTCCCCCTGGGCTCCCGCAGGGCTCTGTGCCCCATCTTGCACAACATTGGGATGGATGGCTGTTCCAGAACCGGGGGGACAACACAGAAATGGGGATGCAGCCATGTGAGCTCACCTTGTGCTGCTCTGACATCACCCCAAAGCCCCGTTCGGAGCGCACCATGCGAACAAGTGCTTCTTTGCCATATGGGATCCACCTCAAAAGCACATTACTACAAGGTGAGTAAACCACTGCAGTGAGTAATGGGCCACCACTCATCCCCCCACGTGCTCCTGGAGACCTGGATGCCATCGTGCTCCTGTTTCCCAATGAACCCTTTCCCACCACGGAGCATCCTCTGTCCCAAAGGATTTAACCCCAGGGCAGCTTTTGCCTCTTCCCTTGCCAGCTCTGCAGCATTTGGCAGCCAAACTATTCACACAGGGACACCCAGCAAACACCAGCATCATCTCCTCCGGTGAAAACACTGATGGAGTGTGAGCAATTTATCAAGGGGTTGGAAGGAGGAGGTGGTAATGTTTCGTGGAAGAAAAAAAAAAAGCCATTGGCATTTCTGGAAATTATTTTCTGTCTCTCTGTGGTTTTGTTTATCAGCAGCACCCCCCCGGAACATGCCCTAATGTGGAGTGGCTGCAGCTCTCCTCCCCCCCCCCCCTGCACAGTGCACACAGCAGCTCCCAGCAGTGAGTCAGGGCACAGAGTGGGGCTCAGCTGCAGTGGGACGGGCGCTGACTCAGGGGCCGACAGCAGAGAGTTTCCATTGCAGCAGTGATGGTGATGCACACGGGGCAGAGCAGCCCAGGAACCTTCCAACCTGTGCACAGAAAGCACAGCTCCGCTCTGTGCGGAGATACGGATCCCCACAGGAATCTGCTTGCACCGAAAGGCTGCAGCCTCAGCGTGGGTTTCCAGCTCCTTCCATGCATGCACTGTCCCTGCCCGCTGCAATTTGCTGGTTGGGGTGGATTCAAGTGACTAAAAATGGAAGCAGAAAGCGAGGAACCAGAACGAAGGGCCCCTTAGAGACCTGCAATTACAACGGCCACGACACCCACGGGGCTATTTAGGAGCTGAAGGAACACCCCTGTGCCCACCTGTGCGCACTCCCACCCGAGCACAGCCTTTGCCCACGTGCCCACATGTGCAACCTGCCCACCCTGCTGTCCTCAGCACGACCCTGGACCTTCACCCCGTGCTGTGAGTCAGGGCTGAGCCAGCGGCACGCACAGCCCGGCCCCTGTGCTGAGCAGAGCACAGTGGGGAAGCCCCTTCCCAGCTCATGGCTCATCCCTGGGAACGTATCCAAGGTGAGGAGAGAGGAGCGGGCCCACGGCACTGGGGCACCCCGGGTGGAAATGGGGCTCAATGGGTCACCAGAACATCTCTAGGGGCTCTACATGCCCCAGTGTGACCATGGGGACCCCGAGGTGACGCCCCCCCCCCACGGTGGTGACCACAAATGGGAGACCCTGACAGACACTGATGGAAGGAAGGAGGATGAATTCGGCTCCAAGCGCCCTTGCAGCAGAAGGACACAGCAAAGGCAAAGCTCCTGGTGGCACACGGAACCTCCTCCTTGCCCTGCGCTCCTTGACCCAAGGAGCATGCTCAACCAAGTATTTGCTGAAATAAAAAGCAAACACGACTGCAAATGTAACTATAGGGAAAATCAGTAATGCTTAAAGCAGACGCATGCTTGGAAAAATAAATATCCAACTGTGCGGGCTGCATTCAGTGTTAACCCTTTGCAGCCACGTGTTGCATCCTGCTGCACACCAACAGCTCCTGCACCGAGTTACGGTGCTCTGCGTGCATGCAGTGGTGTGAGTGGGGGTCTGGTGGGGTGCAAGGATGGGAAAAGCTCAGTAAAACCAGATCAGGTTTAAAAGCTTCCCGAAAGCAAGGCGCCCCCACCGGAGGGCTTCATTTTCAGATATGCTGAGCACCCCCACAGGTCCCCCAAAGGCTGCTCCAGACTTGTGGTGCTGAGTGCTCCGGCACAGGGCTGTCCCAGAACGGACACCAGATCACAGCCCCCACTCCCTGGAAGAGGCAGAGCAGTTCTCCAGCTGGGAGGGAGCGGGATGGGGTTTGCTGCACTCAGCTCCTCCCAGGAAAGCTACTGCGGGCGGAAGGACACGCACTCCTCCAGCAGACCCATCCCCTGCTGCTCACATTTGCCTTCATCCCCAAAAAGCAGAAGGTCCCCATGAGGGGAAAGGCAAACTGCTGGGACGAGCATCTGTGCTCCAGGCCCGGCTGAGCAACGGGGCTTGGAGATCCTCAGCTCCCAGTACAGTTTATTTGTTTTCAGGCAAATAAATAAACAGAGAGATCCTGTTTGCACCTGAAAGCAGCTCGGGCTCCTTCCCAGCAGGCGCGCTGTGCAGCGCAGCACCGCTCTTGCCGGGCCAGGGACGATCCTCGTTTGTTTTAATCCTCTCTGAGCAACACAAGGAGAAGGCAACGGTGCATGCCAGGCACGGCGGAGATTAAGGGAGGAAGTGCTCCTGTGCGGGGAAAATGGCTGCTGGCCGGAGAGAGAGGTGAGGGGCTCCGTCCTGCATCATCCCCGGTGCGGGCACATCCCCGAGAGCCCCGCGATCTCATGAGAGCAAATCACAAAGCCCGATTTTCCTCCTCCCGGGACTCGAGCAGCCTCCAAACCCTCAGTTTTGTTAACGCAAGCATTCGGCAGGAGAGCACTTTGGAGGTCTGGCCGTTGAGCCGTGACGCGCGGAGCAGCGCCGAGTTATCCAACAATCCGCACGGCGTTCGGCCGTCATCTGAACGCGTTGCAAACGGACGCGCAGCGCCTCTCGTTCCCCGCGGCAGCCGCCGGCCCTCGTCCAGGAACCGAACCGCGACCACAGAACCACGCGGAGCCCCGCGCCCGCCGGTCCCGCACACATCGACCCCGCAAACGTCGCGAGCGCTGCGGCGTAGGGCGGCCGCCACGCTGCGCACACGCAAGAGCCGTTCCCAGACGCTGGCAAAGAGTTCGGCAGAAGAACGCTCCGATCCCTCTCACCTCCCACGCCAACACGCACAAAGATCTCAGCCCGGCTCATTTTCATCGCCTCCGCCGCCGATTTTTACCCAAAGGCCCCAACATCTCGGAGTTCCTAACGCAACAAATCCAGCTCTTTCTCCATCTTCTTTTGGAAGCCGCCAGGCTCCCGCCCAGCAACTTTGGGTGGCCGAAGGCCGGGCAGCAGCACCGAGTCCCTACCGGATCCCCAGCGCTGGGGGCCCCCGGAGCTCGGCACCGAACCGAGCAGCGCGCACCGACCTGAGAACCGGGCACTGAGCCACCGCGCCTCCGAAGTGCCGCCGGGCGGCTGCCCGGGGTGCCCCGGGGTTCAGAACCGGACCTCCGCCGCAAGCACACCGAACCGCTCCGGTGTCCCTAAGCTCTCCGAACCTCCGGTACCGCAGCCCAACGCCCGCGGTGCCCGCAAGCCGCAGCCCCGCGCTGCTCGCAGTGGGGCCCCGTCGGGCCGCCCCCCCCGGCGGATGGGGATGGCCGCGATCCCGGAGCGATCCCCCCCGCGCGGAGCACAAAGCGCCGCCCCGCTCCTTCTCCCCGTACTCACCGGAGTCCCGCGGGGCGGCGGCGGAGGCGCGGTGCCCGCCGCTCCCGGGAACAATGGAGGGGAGCCCCGGCCGGGGCGAGCGCGCAGCCCCGCCGCCGCCGCGTTCAGTGCGGCCGCCCCATGGCGGATCCCGGCCCCGAGGTGGCGGCGGGAGGCGCTCCCGGGAGGCGCGGTCCGCCCCGACGGCCGCCGCTCAGAGCTGCCCGCACCGCCGCGTCCCCGCCGCGCGCTGCCGCCGCCGGACTGAGCCGCTCCCGCAGCGCCCCGCCGCCTCCCGCCGGCTCCTCCCCCGCCTTCTTCCCAGCCCTCCTCCTCCTCCTCAGCGGCCTGATGGGGCTTGTAGTCGCCGCCGGGGCGCCCCCTCGGAGCCCCCGTGCTGCGCTGCCGGCAGCCGCCCCGGGACGGACTCCTGGGTGTGGGGTGCAGGGGGGTGGGTCTGAAGGCGGCTGTTTTGCCCCCAAAAACTCCGCTCG